CTCATTTGCACCACTTTCGCTTTAGTATATTCTGCCTTCAGAAAATAAAGGCAGCCAGTAAAAGTACCTAGCATTTGGCATCTGGGGTTTACATAAGACTACCTGAAATTCCAACTAGCAGATACAGAAAAAGGAATAAAGTAAAAAACAAAAATAGCAAAAAGGACAGCAAAACACAGACAGAAACTAAGGAAGAAAATGGAAACAAAACAAAATGATGGGCAACCACATAGCTCAGCAGATTAAAGCACCTGCAACCAGGCGCAGGGCCAGCGGGTTCAATCCCTGGGGCCTGCTGAGACAGCACCTGAGACTAGGCATGGTGGCGTGTGCCTTAATCCCAGCTCTTGGGAGGCTGTAAGCAGGCAGATCACTACGAGTCCAATCTAGTAGTGAGACCCTGAACACCCTGTAGGCCCTTCCCTAAAAAAATACAATAAATAAATAAATAAAATAAAATAAAATTTAAAACAAAATGAAACACCATGTGATGTGACAAGGTGCTACAAACTACACAAGGTTTTTATTAGGCCACACTAGCTTAAAGGCACACTAGTCCTATTCTTTACTTTAAAAAGCAACACATCCGAGGGGGGAAGGAGGGCAAGTAAAAGGAATTAAGCTGTGTATGTACATGTACCAACTCCCCACGATGAGTGCCATCATCCGCACTGTAACTTGCAGTAATAAAAGTACATTAAAAAATAAAATTAAAAAGCAGCATATCCACTACACTACACAAAAAAACAGGTAAGCGTGCTGTCCTAGAACAATGCTTACTTCATTCAATACAGAGCTATACAAGGTTTCTATATTTGATCAAGTTTGATGTACTAATAACAATTTCATATACTCAGCATAACCCAATGCAATATACCACTATTATAAAAAGAATAAGGATGGGCTGGCAAGATAGATTAGTGGACTAAAGCACCTGTTTTGGCAAGCACAGGGACCAGAGTTTGATCCCCCATCCTGCATGCTGTGCTGGCCCCACCCCCAGGGCACAGTGCACAGGACAGAGTCTGGCCATGGTGGAACATGCCTGTAATCCGAGCACTGGGGAGGCTGAAAACAGGAGGATCACCACCACAAGTCTGATTGCGTAGTGAGACTCTGTACCAAATACATAAAAAAATGAAAAAAAATTATAAGGGCTGGGGAGATATCTCAGCAGCCTAAGTGCCTGCCTGACAAGCACAAGGTCCTAAGTTTGATCCCCAGTACAAAAATAAATAAATAAATAAATAAATAAAATATATGCTATTAAATAATCTCTATATTAAATCTCTAAGAAAGAAATAGATTATACAATGTTCCTCTAGTGTTTTTTAATTTTACTTGTATTTATTGAGTTAGCTGACACAGGGTTTTGCTACGCAGTTCAGGCTTGCAGTGATCCTCCTATCTCAGCCTCCGCAGCACTGAGTTACAGCTATGCTCCACCACGCCTGGTTTTGGTGGCCAGCATAGCATGCCCAAGTTTTCAGGGTGGCATAGCATGCGGTACCAGGGATCAAACCCAGGTCCTTGCGCTAGCCAGGCAGGTGCTTAGACCACCGAACTACCTCCCCATCCCACTTAGTGTTTTTAATCATAGATACCATCTATATTTTTTAAAATGTCTAAGTTGGGGGCTGGTGAGATGGCTCAGTGGTCTAAAGCACCTACTTAGAAGAAGCTAAGCTAAAGCACAGGGACCACAGTTCAATCCCCCAGCACATGCCAGCCAGCCCTGCCCCCTGGTGGGCTGAGCTGGCCACACACACACACACAAAAATAATTAAATGTAAAAAAATAAAAATTAAAAAAAGTCTAAGTTGTACTTCTTCAAAATAGATACATACATTGTACATACATTTTATATATCTGTATGTTTATTATATATTTTATGTATCAACATTTATCATTAAACACATTCATACATATAACTGTCAATGTATGTTATATATACTTACATACATAACACATAGACATTTCTATGCACACAGGAATTTTCTGGAAACACACTAAATTACAATGACTATCCCAAGAGGAAGACCAGAGATCTGAGTGAGAAGGAGCTTACTTTCCATTGTATACTCTCCCTAATCATGTGGCCTCTGATACTATTTAATTGTTTTATTATGTGCAAATATTATAGCCTCAATTAAGAAAAAGTCTGAGTACTTTTCAAGTGTCACAGGTAATTTAATGTCCTTTTTTAGTATTCAAATCATTTAACACATTAACCCATGCTTATGACAAAGAACTCTTCAAATAAGGTAATCACTTAAATTGGTGTCCTGTTCACTCCAAAAATGAACTGGCTACCAAACAGCTTTATGATCCTAAGGATCCTAAAAGGAACTAAAATAGCTACAACCTGTGTTTTAACAGTACTATTCAAAGAAAATACTACACTATCTATGAGTATATATGCATATAGATGGTCATTTATTTAAATATTTTTTACCACTGTGTGCAACATCTTCTGCTGTAGGTTTATGTCTACCTATACACAAATGCTTCGGAAGAAGGAGCACATAAGCACACACGTGTGTCTGTATAGGTGCGTGTGCCAGGCTTGAAGCCACCGATACTAATCCTGATCTGTCAGATTCAGTGCTCCTTCAGAATATCTGCAGGATACGAGAGCTAGTGCAGGCTTTGAGGTAGAATCGGAGCCTACCTTTCTTTCCGGCTCTTCTATCTTCCATACCTGTGATGGAGATCTAGAGATTGTCTTCGTCTAAAGATCATTTCCTTAACACTCATCTAGATTATAAATGAAGACTGGGAACCAATAGTTAATTCAGGAGTCTGCATTTTATGGTTCTCCAACTGCCCTCATCTTACTCGTGAGAAATCACTAAATGTATGACAGGTATAAGCAATCTGGATTGTGGGATGTGAGACTAAAGCTCACTGGTTTCAATAATCTAAGGTCTGCTGTCAGGTGTTCATATATGAAAGCACAGGTAAAACATATCAACCATTACATATAGCAAATGTAATACTAAATTTCTGATATTCAACAGGTTTTGAAATTCAAGCAACATTTCAATGATAAGTAATAGTCTGTAACCATAGTAAAATGTGCTCTTTTTATTAGAAAGTCAAACCAAAAACTGCTTTCTACATTTACTTTAATCTTTACAGTCTCTACCCCAATCCATACATAACACTGAAGTTTAATCTTAGCTATTACAATTCCAAACGCTAGTAGTATTACCATCAAACTTGTTTGATCTTATTTACTTGATTCAACTAAGACCCACTCCTAAACTTTCAAACAGTACAAATTCTAATTAATCTTGACGTAAGTACACATGTAGTCTTAACCTTTTCTTGTAAATATATGCTGTTCATCTTTTTTGTTTATATGTTCTTTTTTTTCTGTAATTAGGACAGGGTCTACAGGGTTTCACTATGTAGATTGGGCTCATAGTGATTCTCCTATTTTCAGCCTCCCAAGCGCAGGGATTACAGGCACACCACCGCGCCCATTCACAATCACCTTCTCAGCACACAGCATGCTCCAGACTGAACCCCAGCTGCTGGGCTCTGCCTAAGCAGGCGCTTTAGTCAGCTGAGCTATCTGGCCAGCTCTGTTTATATGTTCTTCTTTATTTTATTTTATTTTATTTTATTTTATTTTATTTTATTTTATTTTATTTTATTTTATTTTATTTTATTTTATTTTCAGAACCAGGGATTGAACTCAGGCCCTTGTGCCTGCCAGGCAAGCACTTACTCTACTGAGCTATCTCCCCAACCCCGTTTATATGTTCTTGATACCCAATATATTAATCTTAAACAAATATACTGATACATACACATGTAGTATCTTGATCACTTCTACTTCCCTTGCTTCTCCCACATACCACTTTTAAAAACCTAGTATCTTATCCATTATTAACCCAGTTTTATGGGCTTTAGATTTCAAATATTAAGAGCACTGTAAGGAAAATCACTATCTTGTTTAACCTTATTCTTCTATAAAATGCATTATATTTCAAATCCTTAACACTATACAACTCATAAAAGTATTGAAGTTTCAAGATGTGCACTTCAGTAATATAACACAGTAAGGTGACAACAATAAAAGCAATCGTTGATTCTCTAACAAAGTCATCTAAATAGGTATGCCTGTGTATGCTTCCACATAGCTTAGAAAATTAGTAGGCAGCTAACACAAACACTAATCCACAGGTTTATAATAAAACTTCTATTTCCATACAGGAGTCCACTGACCTTAGGAAACTCATGAAAATAGCTGCAGAATAAATTAACTTCTGCAAAAGTTTTTAAAGAGGGCACCCAACTCTAAAAGTTTGATTCCTTTTTAAAATTCCTAAGACTTAAAACTAAGATGAACATTAGACTACACAAATTAATACTTTGCTATCTACAGGTATTTACTTAGGGAATACGCAAGATCTGATAATCAACGTTGAGAACACACAGGTCGACACAAGATCCGTAACCAAAAATAAGGCAACGTCCCAATTTTCATGTAACGAGGTGATAACTTTTATTATTTAAAAACCACCGCGCAGAGGCCTCCGGGCAGCGAGCACCGCGGCCAGGTAGACCCGCCCCGCGCTTCCGGACAAGGCGGGCGGCCGCCGCGGCTGGGGTCGCCTCCCCACTCCAGCGAGCGGCAGCAGGGAAGGCCCAGCAGCCGCGGCCAGCCGCCGCCGCCCGCGGCACTCAGAGGACACCCCTGCTAAGTTCCTAAGTGGAACTCGCCAGCGTGCTTCCGCCTTTTTCCCACGCTCCGCCAGGCCGCGGCTCCCGGGCCCTCAGCCCGCCGCACTCAACCCGCACCCCTCGCCCGCGCCCGAGTCCCCCGTGGCCCCGCCCCGCCGCCGGCCCCGCCCCGCCGCCGGCCCCGCCCCGCCCCCGCAGGTTCCCAGGAGCCCGGAGCCTCCCTGCGCGTTCTCCGCCTCCTCGCCCGCCCACCGCCTCTGCCTCCCGCTTTCTGCGCTCCTCCACGTCCGCTGCCCCCGCCTCACCTTGGTCCGGAGCTGCCCCGAGGTGGACACTTTGCGGATCAGTTTCTGCGGTCCCTCTTGCTCCACTTCGCTGTCGGACGAATCCTCTCCTGGCCCAGCCGAGGCGGCCGCCCCTGAGCCGGCCCCGGAGGCCGCTCCTCCCGCGGCGCCCGGAGGGTGCTGGCCGCTGGCCCCGGCCATCCTCTCCGACTCCTGTAGGGACACAGCACCGCCCGGCGGGGGCGACGGTCAGTCGGTGGGCTCTGCCCGATCCGGGCCCGGAACCCCGCGCCCGCCGCCGCCGCCATTTTCGGCCCCCGTGCGGGGAGGGTCGCGCGCCCAGACGCCCTACCGGCGGAGCTCCACTATCGCCCGGGGACCCCTGCGCGCACTGCCTCGGGATGTGCTGGAGTAGGGTCCTGGCCCGGACCAGGCGCAGGTCTGCGAGACAGGAGTGACAGAGGACTGGATTGGGCAGCCGGGGTCCTCGGGCTGGACGAGAGGGCGAGGGAGGCAGGAAAGCTACGCAGCCCTCTGCTCCCTCCTTTGGGGAAACGGGCAAGAAGGGAACCTGGAGGCGCAGATTCCCTGTGGTGCAGCCGCCACCTCCTGGATCCCAAATCTCTCCACAAATACTTGGGCCTTGTTGCACGGTTCCAACTGAACCCACAAGCCCTCCTCTCCTACCCCTAGCTGGACGGGAGCGACTGACTCAGGACCCTGAGCACTACAGGAGGGACTGTACCTCTCCAGCCTCCGCCTGGGGGGTTGGATCCTTTCAGCGATCCCAACCGAGGTGTTTAGTTTCTGGCCCACCCCCACCCCCATCCGGTGCACACGGAAGAGAAGAGCATTTTCCGGGAGGTTCAACTCCACTCAGAACTTTGCGTTCAGAAAGAGCGATTGCCTGTGGCTAACAGGAAACTGGGAAGGGCGTGGAGAGCGCTGAAACAAGAGAGGACTCGCAGCCCAAGACGACAGCATGCTAAATAAATGACTATGGTGAAGCGCTAATCGAGGCTGTCTGGAGGAAAATTGCACTCGAACTATATGAACACCAGTATCTGAACGAACACACACACACACACACACACACACACACACACACGCTGAAAGTCCTGAGACAGCCACTCCAAAACCCAAACCACTGCAGGAAGAAATGGGCTCAACAAGGCTGCAGCCACCACCCAGGTCCCTAACCAGCTGGTTTTGCGGGGACTTGGGAACAGCAGCTTGCTGCGGGTAGTTCTTGCTCAACATCAAAGAGCCCCTGCAGATGGGGGAAGTCTGCCGAGAAGATACTCAAATGACAAATGCCTCTTGTTTTCCAAAAACTCCGAACTGGTGTTAGCTGTATTTTTGAATAGAGTAAAAAAAATCCCTGCCAGACTAGAATCTTTTCACCTGGATAAAGCATTTAACTTCTTGTAGGTCTCTGCCCTTCAATACTCATTCCTTTCCTATTTATTCAGTTGACTTGACCTTTAAGTTTCCTCCACACCAACATTCTGGGTATTTTTTTTCCCTAGTTGTAATCTTACTCCCCAAAACAATTTGATTTCTGTAGTACAGCTGACAATTATAAGAAACTTTAAGAAGAATCGGTATGCAGTCCTAACACTGCACATTACACTGTAGATTAAATTCTTAAAAATGTAAATGTGCAGCTCAGTTTAAATCTTCCAAGACAGGAGCTTACTGCGGTGGTTATAAAATACGGACCTTCCCTCCAGCTTTCTTTACTTGTCTTCTTTAGCAAAGGATAGTTAGGCAAAGTGAACTTTAACTGTTCTTATGGCCTGTAAATTATGTAACTATATGTACAAGAACATGTTGCTGGGAATTCTTTTAAAAAAAAAATCAAAATAATGGCCTTTATCCCCCATTGGCTGTTTGCTCACCAAGAAGTCCAATGTTAAAAACGTAAAAAAAAAAAAAAAAAGTTATGTAAAAAAGACACCTACTAAAATGGAAAAAATGTCACCTACAAAGGAATCATTTGAAATAATAATTTCAATTTCTTTTGCTTAAAGACATAGAGGCACAAAATCAAGACTGGAATCAAAGTCAAAATCACATCCTTACTATTCTAATGTTCTATTTACTGAACTATATAACAAATCAGTTTCTCGGTTATTAAATATTTGTACTCATATTTTATGCTTTCAAGTTTTTTATATGGCAACATTTTCCAGATTCCACACAGAGTGCTTAAACTAAAAGGCACTAACGTCCAGTCCTATTTTGTGATAGTAAGAAGAGTATGGACCACATTTCTCATACTGACTGCTTAACAATACTTTGAATCAGTTTCATATCCAGGAGCTAGCCAATACCTCAAAGTATAAAAGTTTTATTTATAAAGATTTAAGTTCACCTGGAGAGGTACAGGCCTGTAATCCCAGCACTCAGGACGGTTTTTTTTTTTTTTTTTTTTTTTTTTTTTTTGGTAGCCTCAGATTGCCTCCAGCACTGGTCTGGATTTCCTTGAGTATGCGGGAATCAAACCACCGATCCCAGAGAAGGACTGCTTTATTTAGGCAGGCACTTAAACAATTGAGCTAGTGGGCGGGCCCCCAATCCCAGCACTCAGGAAGCTGAGGCCAGCATATCAAGGACAGCCTGGGCCAGAGTGAGCTCAAGGCCACCCTGCACTACAAGGTGAGACCCTACCTCAAAAACAACAACAAAAAAACCCTTACAGCCAGCTCTACTCTTCAGAGCTCCTGTGACAAGTTCTAAAGCTTGGTTTGGGACTTTGAAAGCACAATCAGTCTAGCTTGATTGTGGTAAACAAATGATGGTCACTCTGTTTTTTTTTCAAACAGAAAATTCAAGATGTAAATACTGTGTCGGCAAATGAGGGAATGGCTTCATTGGCTTACTTCCCACAAAAGGCAGCTCACAGGCCATGGATATAGTTTAGAGGCACAGCGTCCTCTTGGCAAATGTGACTTTGTGAGTTTAATTCTTGGACCCCCCCCCCAAGAAAAAGGTTGCTCATTAAAAACCTGCTTCAGTACCTCCTCTGAGAGTGTTTCAAGGAGTTTCTAATTTACGATACTTGACCTGTTAGCTTGTTAGGTCTTGGCTGTAAATGGCAAATTTCTGAAATGAATATCCAATCTGTATCATGACTATCTGCAATGTACTTCACTTTTCTTAAAAATATTTGTAGCAATATCAAGGTGTAAATGTTTACAACATCTGGCTCAAAATGGCAAGCAAAACAAATTTCAACTATGTGATACCTTATGTATCTGATTTATAAGATTTCCTTCACCTTTTCCTTAGTTGGAGTTGTTGAAATTTTCAAAACATTTCTTGTATGCCTCTTATATATTTCTTTTATTACTGTTACTTTGAAATCCATTTGGAAAATAACATATGACAGACACACTATTAAAAACCTGGATGTAAGCCATGTAGACAACTGCATTCTGTATAAAATGGAACTAGATGAAGCTGGCCCCTAATTAGGTTTCTACTTAATAAGGTTTCCTATCCCATTAAATAAAAAATTACACTGAACGTGCATAAGTCAGCCAAATATGCTGATACCAACTTTATGAATATTAGTACACCATTATCTAGAGGTGTTTTGAATTGCTGTGCATTCTTACTAATCGCTACTCATAACAAGAGGAATAATCATATACAACTTTTGAACCCACATGTTCTGTGGTTTTGCCTCACGTATGCACAAACATACAGAACACTGCGTATTATACCCTGAGGTTCACACTTTAAAAATAGTCAGAGCTGCAAATGTAACTCAGTGTGAAGAATGCTTGACTAGCAGACGCAAAGCCCCAGGTTTAATCCCAAGTGGGGCCAAAAAGAAAAAAAATTCCACTCATATACTATCCTAATCAGTAAGGAAATATGAAAGAATACTGCAGGCTAAACATCTATAGACCTGGAGGCTGCTTTCACTAAAACTTTGAGCTATTTTTGTAATATAATTTGTGCTACGGGGG